TACCACATTGGCCCTGTCCATCTAAAGTGCCTCCCTGCTACTAGTTCTCCGTCTTTATCTTTCTTCTGAGGTAGAAATGATATATGACAATATATAAAAAGACCAAGAAGTAAAAAAGAAATAAAATACTAAGCAAAGAAATAAATGCAAAAAAACTAATTGTAAAGTTAAAGATGCTCCAAAGAAGTGTGCCTTTTTGGTGATTCCATTTAACTGAAGTACAAATATATGTATACTTATCACAAATGGCTAGACTATTGTCCAAAGTATACAGTAATATTGATAATATATTTTTTTGATAGTCAATTGATTATAATAATCGTATTATTGTTTTGCTAATACAGTTAGTAATTGGATTGTTTGTTGATAGTATAATTGATTTATTTGTTAATAATATGATTTTGTTTATATTGATCAGTATGTAGTGTTTTAATAGAACAGATTTGTTTGAATAATTAGTAGTATTTGATTGATTGGTAATAAATTGATAGAAATAAACTGATTACAATTTTTTTGTGAAAATTTTTTTAAAAAAAGTTTTATATTTTTTATGGTACAACAAAATATGCTAGACAATAGTAAGAAATAAATAATGAATTTATTGCTAGTTTTTCAAGTTAACAATATAAACATTTTTAATATGTGGTTGATTTATAAAAAAGATCTTCAAGAAAAGAATATTGTTATTTAATAAGAAATATGTATTTATAAAAAGTAAAAATAGGAAGAACTTCAAGAAAGATTTATAAAGAAATAACTGTTATAGATTTTTTCTTATATAATTCAAAGAAAAGCAAGAATTTAAACTTGCTTTTTTTTTTGGTCTGAGATTTAATTCTGATATATTAATATACTTCTTTAATTTTCTTAAGATTCTTGTAATAAAGATAAAGGATGTGTGAAGGAATTTGGAATGTTAAAAAGTGAAAAAATATTTGTTTATTAAATTTTAAAAGATAATTATTAAAAAAAAAATTCTAAGAGTTTTTAATTTCTTTTATTAAATTATAATTAATTTTTTTTTATAGTGAAATGTATACATAGTGCATAGTCTTTATTGATACATTTATATATTTAGATAGACACTAAGTGTCTCTACAAATTAATTAAAAATTGGTTAATATAATAGATACCTTTTTGTCTCTACAATTGATTTGCAGATTAACAATGTCTAATGCTTATATTATTATCAGACTAGCTATATCAACTACTATTTATTCAACTATATATTTATTTAGATATCCAAAGATATGTTTACACACCAGGTAAAACTTTTTGCAAGAGAAAATCTTATAACTAGTTAAAACCTATCTAACCTATTGAGTCTATTATTACAGGAAACAGTATTGTTATGAAATATTATTATAGAGACTAACTCCAGTATTTCAGTTACTTTTATTATTAAATTCTTGGAATGTGCTACTAGCATAGTAATGCACTATTATTTTCATCACCTGTAAAATTGACATCCTTGCTTGAATTCTAATTTAATCTTGATAATATTTACTAGACCCATTTGGTCTTGACGATTTTTACCTGAATTATCATTACTTGTAATAGATAATCTTTACCCTTTCAGTTTATTTAAGTTCAAAAGAACACTATTCTTGGGATAGATTTTCAAGTTCTAGATTGATATAGATTAGTTTAGAATTAGTCTCTTTATATTGTATAACAGAATCTGGTATTACCAGTTTAGATTAGAGTTTGTAAACTTATTCTGGAGTTAGATCAGAAACTTTTTCTTATGCAATTTTTCTTGTTTCAACCTGTTTTCAGTTAATGATTATCAGAAAAACCAAAGATCCCATTTTTGTGCAGCCTAATCAAATTTGGAAATTGATTTTTCAACTAATTGGATATGACATGAATTGAAATCTAGTCAACTAATCATAAAGGTGATAAATTTTTGTAACCAGGTGGATTTAAATCCTAGACCTTTTCCTGGTGATCTATGAAGCATTACTATTATGCTATAGACTCATAAGTCATTAAATTATAATTAATATTTTTGTAAAAATAGATTTATATATAAATAAAATACTATTAATGATATTTAAAATTAGATGTTATATTATTTAAATGAGATAAGCTATTCTTAATGTTTAAAATTTTATAAATTAACATATAAAATTACTATTTTGCTAATTATTTAATAATCAATAATTTGTTTTGTTATAAAAATTTAATTGAAATATAGACATAATCTTTATTTTATAATTTTTAACGATTATATCATTTCAATTTAGCATAAATTAAAAAAACAAATAAAAAATTATAAAGATTATAAAGATTATAGCTTTAATATAAAAATTGCAATTTATTTACTAACTCAATATTCACTTTAAAATGATTGTAATTAAAAAATTTTTTATTCATATATTTATTTATTTCTCCCAAAATTTACTGCTTGTTTAAAAATTAACATTATGTTTTTTATTTAATGTTCAAACTCCATAAAGCATAAAAGCATATTCAAAAATATTTTTGTATATTATTTTTGCTTTTGAAAAAAAGTATTTTAAAAAATTTTAAACAGCAATTTTAAATTATTTTTTTAAAATACAGTATATTCCTAAGTAAACTTGTATAAAAATAAATCTAATTTTCTAAAAAAAAATTTTTTTATTTAATGTTAATCAAAATTTCAATAAAAAAATTCAGTGCGATTTTTTTGTTTCACATCATACTTTATATACATATTTTAACACAGGGCTCAGCCTCTAGTTAGTTTTTATTAAGACAATTGCCTAAGAAATTACACATGGTATCTACAGTATATCATTGAAAACATTCAGGATCGGTTACTCGCTGCAGGCCCTGCTGCTTGTTGCCTTCTCCATAAGGACTAACATGTCTAAGCAGATCTAAAGTTGTTTAAATAAAAGATTTATTAACAACAAGAACAATTTTTATTACAAAAATTTTATGACGTTTTTTTTTTTAATACTCTGTATGCTATATGACTACGATAATTATTCTCTAATTATAAGTCAAATGTGTGTATGGATAGCTTGAGAATTTGTAACAAAAGGATATCATAAGTTGATAATCAATTTTACGCCTTAATTATCATAAAACCTTTGGCAATCTTTGGAATTTTTGAATATACAAAGGAATTTACCCTAGTAATATACGCTTATATGTCATTGTTGTCATTAATACCGAATCCCGGGCTTGTAATGGTCGTAAGGTTATATAACCCGGGAAATTCATTATTAGACCCCAAAATGTTTGTATTAAAATTCGAGTTTTGATCTCCCTCAACATAACTGTACGAATTTGAGACATCCGAAGTATGGTTTTTTAGCACGCTTGAAAAAGTTTCCGTTTCAGTACAATTATTACGTTCAACCATCGGAATTTCGAAAAGCGAATTGCCGGTAATGTAAGGACCTCGATCAAATAAAGTTGATGGTCGAGTGTCATTTGAAGCCAAATATGTTGACGATTCTAAAGTCGAAAAAAGTTGATCGTTGGTGTTAAAATTCAATCTGCTAATCGATGGTGACCCGGACAAACTTAGCGAACTAGAAATGTTACTTGAAGTTGAATGCAGAGAAGCTTTAGCCTCGGAAAAATGAGGGTCAGGAATGTAAATTGGATTTTGATATGAAGAGACAACAGCCCCGGAAAAATAAGGGCTAGAAATATTACTAGAGGTTGAATGCGGAGAAGCAGAAGCCTCGAAAAAATGATGATTATGAATGCAAATTGAATTTTGATATGAAGAGACGGCAGCCCCAGAAAAATGAGGACTAGAAATATTACTGGAAGTTGAATGCGGAGAAGTGGCCACCTCGGAAAAATGAGGGTTAAGAATATTAATTGGATTTTGATATGAGGAGACGACAGCCCCGGAAAAATGAGGACTAGAAATATCACTAGAAGTTAAATGCGGAGAGGCGGCCGCCTCAGAAAAATGAGTGTTAAGAATATAAATTGAATCTTTATATGAAGAAACGGCAGCCCCGGAAAAATGCGGACCAGGAATACTAATGGAAGTAGAATGCGGAGAAGCGACCGCCTCGGAAAAATGAGGGTTATGAATATCAATTGGGCTTTGATATGAAGAGACATCAACCCCGGAAAAATGAGGGCCATAAATATCACTTGATGTTGAAGCGGCAGCGCCGGAAAAATGAGGGTTATGAATACCAATTGGATTTTGAAGTGATGAGACGACAGCCCCGAAAAAATGAGGACTAGAAGTATTCTTTGAAGCTGAATTTGGAAAAGCGGCAGCCTCGGAAAAATGAGGGTTAGGGGTGTTTTTATAAATCAAATTATTAAACTTATTATTAGCACGAGTTGAAAAAGAATTATTACTGACTGTTGGAGATCTAATATTAACATTATTTATCGATTCAGCTAGAGAATTTTTTTTGACCGCAAGAATTTCTACTTTGAATGAGTTGAACATCTTACTATTATTACTCTTCAATCTTTTTTTTTGTTTTTTGTTTTCTGGACAAAATATGTAACCTGGATATTTTTTTTTATGTTCATTCTTTGCATTTTCGGCCATGCGGTCGTACCTTTCTTTTTCTTCCGAGGATAGTTCACGCCACAATTTTGCTGCCTCAATGGATATTTCATTGTTCGACATGTCACTGTTTTCTTTTTGCTTCTTAGCTTGATAATATTTTCTAAATAGAATAAAGCTGTTTGGTGGTCTAGGTGGTTTCTTTTGTTTTTCTGTAATTAGAGTAAGTATCAATGAAAAGTAGTCGATGTTAATGGCATATTGGATTCTTACTTTTTTTATGATCATGTATAACCTGTGCAGTTATGTATATATTACTGTTTTGTTCCATATTATAATGGAGAGTGAAAGAGGAATCGAAGAATTTTCTGATTATTTATGCACATACCGTCGAAAAACGTGATGTATTTAAAGAGGAATTTTTGAAAAAATTACAATAATGAATTTCCTTATTCGGAATAGTTTAATTGTGAGGGCATTATCCGCTCGCCAAAGTTGGGATAATTCATAATTTTTAACAGTGCACAAGATCACCGGTAGGATTGATATAGAAAATTTGTATCATGAATGAAGAAAATCCCATTGAAAAACCGAATTTACGTTCTAGGCAAAAATATCATTACATTATTTAATAATATATTAGGAAAAATACATTGTCCCGTTCTTCGCAATATTCTAAAGAAAATGTTTTAAATCTCCAAATCTGTACCTACAACTGTAAACATCATTACGGTTCATTGCGAAGGTAGTTCATCGCGAAGTTAATCTTGTGATTTCGGATGTTTGTTTTTGTGTAAAAATTTTTTTTCGTGGGAATTATGACACAAAATTTATCTGTTATTATACTGTAACATCAATTTTCCTTTTAAATAATTTATAAGATCAAATTTTGCATTCAGACTTCTCACTCTAATTTGTTGATGTCCAAAAAAATCACCTAGACAATGTAATAAAAGATTTATCCATTGCAACTCTACATTAAACATTACAAAAAAAACCAGATGAACCGATAATCTTGATATAAAATATAATATTTTACTAGCAGAATACATTTAAATCGCCCTTATTTTACAATTAAAGCAATCGCTATTAATCAACAGTTCTATTATTTTTAGCCTATTGAACCATGATTATTTTTATTTATCCCCTAATGAATTCAAACATTTTTACAGCATGTGTAATCACTAATTTATTATACTGTATTACGTACACAATTAACTCAGCACTGCAATCGACATCATGCATATTTCCATATTATTATTACCTTTTCTAGATCATGTGACCATATTGATATTGCACGGGGCATAAATAATTTGTGATATTATCGATCGGTGGTATGACGTTTACGGAGTGAGCCGTGAGAAATCACGTTATAATAAGATTATAATGTAGTTATAAAGTAAAATATGTTTTTATTTGTATTTATAATATACAGCATATTATTATTAGCATTTGTGTCAAAATGCATATGAACAACTTGTGAAGTAAAAATACAGTATTTGAAATCATGAAAGCGTTCCACTTAAAGATTTTGATCGTCACTATCGCAATTCGAGAATAAAATTGAATCAATGCTTCTAAGCATACATGCGAAGATGAATTTAATATTGTGGGCTCAGCAGCGAGTCTTTCGATAACCAAAATATTTCCTTACGTAACGTCAGGTAGGTTAGGAGGTTGCTGATTTAAACTCTTATGCGTGTTTACGATTTGATTGACTTATACTTTAACCTTTCCATAAACTATATTGGAACCTTTCTTAACGCCAAATTCCTTAGGCAAGTCGGTTCTCTAAGAGATCGCATAGTGCGAGTTTCGAGTATTACGGGCACAAGCGTAAATGCGAGTTTAATTAACCTTTGAGTTTGTTTATTAATGACACTAATGTCTATTTTAAAATTTTATTTTTTATTGTTAGGACACCCAATACTAAATGCTATAATTCGGAACACCAAAAATTCGATTCCTAACAAATTGTGAATATATTTATGCACGCGCCACTTTTCTATTTTTCCATTATTTTATTATTCTTCTAGACTTTAGAATTTCCATCTATTTTCTCACCTTTTTTCCTACCTATTCGAGCCAATGACGTAACGTGATATCGCGTTGCGTACTCGTGACACTTACCCGTCAAAATAATAAACAGGATAAAAGTTAAAATCAGATTTAAGTAAATTCTTAGACAAGCAAAGGGAATTGTTAAAGACCTGACACCGTGATTTAAATCCTTAGAGTTTCAGGCATTCTTATAATCCGAAAAACTTTTCTGCAGAAAAATAATGTTTACAGTAGATAACAATATTTTTATTAGAATCGCTGTATATGTTAACAATAATAATCAAATATGCATATGTTGTAGATGGTAAACCCAAGATAAATTTCTATATGTTATCAAATTGTTATTGTATAATGACAAAGTTTATTTAATGTCATTATGCATCAAGAGAAGAAATAACCCAATCGTTATAGAAACCTGTAGTTCGAATCAAATAATTCCTGCCTCAAGCCTCAAAGCTATAAAATTATAGATGAGCGTTTACATAAGCTTAAAAGAAATATTAGCTTAGAAAAACCTAAAGGGAGGACCGCAGATGAAATTACAGCAATTAATGCCAATAAAATTCGACTTTAAGAAACTAGGATAAGTGATGTTCTTGTGTTATATAGTTTATTTATCTAATTATTATATGAGTGATATACGAGTGATTGATGATTAGGTTTGATGACCGAGTCGACGGTGACAATTTAAAACGCATTTTTTATGATAATAATGATGATCCACCTGGTAATACTGTTTACCTTACACAGAACAAGATTCATTTATTTTATATTTCCTATACATTAAAACTAAACTTGATAGATTATTATACCGATTTTTTAGTCGGTAAATAACCTTTCCTTTGATTCCTGTTTCATATCGATGGTGCGATTACTGGGCATCACTTTTTTGGACTGTCGCCTTATGATGAATAGGGTACAATAAAGTTGATGACATTCTGTTATTTTATTTGTAGTATAACAAATTCATTGCATATTCGTAAATCATAAACCCATTTTAAAAGGGAATTTTTGAAATTTTGTGGGCGTAAATACTGTAATATATTTCTAAATTTTGCCTTTGTTGATTTTCTGATCTGGGTAGGACATTGTCATTTATTTGCTAAAGTTGGTTACTTAAATTTTACCCATGGACAATACCATTACCTTTTAAACGGCGTACAAGATCATTGGTCCAGATAAGAAATAGATATTTTTCCCTAAAACAGCAATTAAGTTTTTATGTGCATGTTTTGAATCGCGTGACAATATGACATGTAAAAATACTCGTTACTAAATAATGACAAATTGGGGAAAATCAATTGAACGGATCATTCATAAACAAAAATTCTCATGTCTCACATGAAATAGCAGCAACCATGCTGGATGGCCTCTGAAATTAAATGTTTTATGACACCAAATAAATTTTGTGTTAGCTAATCTAAATATATAAAGAGTTTCTCGGTCAAACACTTCATAGCACAGAAAATTTCTTTTCTACCCAAATATATTTAAAAAAAAATCATGGAAATCACAGATATAATTCTTCCTTGTAATTTTGTTGCCACTCCAATATCACTTAAACAACGAAGACGAAGGTTTATCTATTGCAACCCTGTACATAAAATTGCAAGAAAAAAGAGATGGACCGATAATCTAAATAACAAATATAATAATGACTCTTCACCACAGCGGTGTAGTAGGAATAATAGGCACACCAAATCTGAGCCTTCTCAGGATCAAGACTACCAAATACATTTCAATTGACGGAATCTATTTTAATTTGCCATTAATGATGCAAATGATGAAATGGATTGTTGGAGTTGACTTAATCAAGCAATAAATTGTATTTATCGTAATTCAATGGCGGGATCACTGATTTATTAAATTATAATTATATAACTCTGCTGCTCTTTTGAACGAGACAAATGTGTTCATAGAGAAAAAATCTATTCTCTCTCTTCTTTTTAAAAAAATTTAATAAAAAGTTTACATAACAATTTGCCACAATTCAATTAATTTTTTGTATTATAACTACGTGCTCATAGGTTTTAAATTAATCAGGAATAAAAGACTCGATATGTTAATAAAATACTCGCCTCAAATCGCATATGAAAAATTTTGATCTTTGTTACAATAAATTATATAAAATGAGATGCATAAAACTTTATATTAGGGACAAATTGTACGCCCATTTGTTAAGTTTATTTGCTTTCCTTGCTATAAAAAAACTCGCCAAGTTTGTTACACTTTTATTTACCAAGCCGATCAATTAGTAATGGTAATCTGTGGTCATTGTGTTACGTGGGCAATCACGTTAACTCCCATATCCAATATGCTGTATTTTGAAGAAATACAAATTATTTAATGTACCTTAAAATAATTGCGAAATAATTATTTTACAAATATATTTTATAATAATTAGATAATTTTGTTTATCTTTTTAACAAATATAATTTATTGATTCTTTTTCATAAATTTTATTATTTAAATTATATTAGAATTTGTTATTTTACAATTAAAAAAAACAACAATATATTTAATTAAAGTCACTATTAATATTAACTTTTTATATTAATTAGAAATCAATAAAATAGTGTAAGAGGGACCAAAAAAATTAGATAGATTCAACATATGTCATCCTCGCCCAATTGGGGTTTAATTGGGGCT